GGCGGCTGGGGGAGCGCGGGCGGGGGAGGGGAGCGGAGGGCTGGGCCGCCGCGCCCGTCCGGGGCGGGGCCGTCCCAGCACACCGGCGGCCGTGACTCAGCCCCTGCCCGCCCGCGTCCCTTGCAGTTCTGGGAGGTGATCAGCGACGAGCATGGCATCGACCCCACCGGCACTTACCACGGGGACAGCGATTTGCAGCTGGAGCGCATCAACGTGTACTACAACGAGGCCACCGGTGAGACCCCGGCCCCTCCCGACGCCCTTCTGCGACCCCATGTCCCCTCTCCTCGCTGATTCCTCCTTCGTGCTCCCCCAGGTGGCAAGTACGTGCCCCGCGCCGTGCTCGTGGATCTGGAGCCCGGTACCATGGACTCGGTGCGCTCGGGCCCCTTCGGGCAGATCTTCAGGCCGGACAACTTCGTCTTTGGTGAGCCGCCGGTGGGGGCTGGGTGGCGGCGTGTCAGCAGGGGCGGCTCAAAGGTCGAGGGGCTGCCTGTCTCAAGGTCACCGCGGTGAGAACCGTGGGGCGGGACACACCTGGACACCCTCCTCCCCCTCTGAGTCACTCAATCCCCCTCCTAAAGCGGCTTTGGGAGGAAGGCCCAGCTGTCTGCCCACTGTGAGGAGCCGTAGATGTAATCTCCCGGCAGGGAACTCGGAGCTGGAGGCAGCGACTGCTGCTCGGTCCTTGGGAGTTGGCCGGGCTTGTCTGGGCAGGGTTTTGTTGTTGAGCTGGCTCAAGTTTGGTTAGCAGGGCAGGCTGCTTGCTGTCTGTTACTTTGGGGTCTATTTGGTCTACCCAGAGTGAATTCTCATTTCACGCCATATTGGCCTGTTTTTGCGTGGATTGTGGCGACTACATACCTGGCTAGCAAGTGACCACCTGTCCTCTCTCACAGGTCAGAGTGGTGCTGGGAACAACTGGGCCAAGGGGCACTACACAGAAGGCGCGGAGCTGGTGGACTCAGTGCTGGATGTTGTGAGGAAGGAGGCTGAGAGCTGCGACTGCTTGCAGGGCTTCCAGCTGACCCACTCTCTGGGTGGGGGGACTGGGTCTGGGATGGGTACCCTTCTCATCAGCAAGATCCGGGAGGAGTACCCAGACAGGATCATGAACACGTTCAGCGTGGTGCCCTCGCCCAAGGTGTCGGACACGGTGGTTGAGCCCTACAACGCCACTCTCTCAGTCCACCAGCTTGTAGAAAACACAGACGAGACCTATTGCATTGATAATGAAGCTCTCTATGACATCTGCTTCAGAACCCTAAAGCTAACCACGCCCACATATGGTGACCTGAACCACCTGGTGTCCGCCACCATGAGCGGGGTCACCACTTGCCTGCGCTTCCCTGGCCAGCTCAATGCTGACCTGCGGAAGCTGGCTGTTAACATGGTCCCCTTCCCCCGACTGCACTTCTTCATGCCTGGCTTTGCCCCACTGACCAGCCGGGGCAGCCAGCAATACCGAGCCCTGACGGTGCCCGAGCTCACCCAGCAGATGTTTGACGCCAAGAACATGATGGCTGCCTGCGACCCCCGCCACGGCCGCTACCTAACAGTGGCTGCCGTGTTCAGGGGCCGCATGTCCATGAAGGAGGTGGATGAACAAATGCTTAATGTCCAAAACAAGAACAGCAGCTATTTTGTTGAGTGGATCCCCAACAATGTGAAAACAGCTGTCTGTGACATCCCACCCCGGGGGTTAAAAATGTCCGCCACCTTCATCGGCAACAGCACGGCCATCCAGGAGCTGTTCAAGCGCATCTCGGAGCAGTTCACAGCCATGTTCCGGCGCAAGGCCTTCCTGCACTGGTACACAGGTGAGGGCATGGACGAGATGGAGTTCACTGAGGCCGAGAGCAACATGAACGACCTGGTGTCCGAGTACCAGCAGTACCAGGACGCCACGGCCGAGGAGGAGGGAGAGTTTGAGGAGGAGGCCGAGGAGGAGGTGGCATAGAGCCGTCTGTCACTGGGTAAAGCGCGGAAGCGGTGTGAGCTCTTTATTCACTCACAACCTGTTCTGATAGCCACGTCTCACTGTGTGTGCACTTGCTGTTCTTCCTGTCTTGACATCACATGCTGTACAGACACCACCATTAAAGCATTTTCATAGTGTGTGTTTTTGCCTCTCCAGTTCCTTCTGATAGGCTCTTCTCGAGCTGTTGCCGTACGTCATTGCATAGGTATCCTGCATGCCTGCGAGGGAGCAAGGCTGCACCTGAGCCGAGCTTACCACATACCCAGGGACAAGCATGCGAGTGGCTCCCACAGGAGTCGGCATGGGCTGTGAACACGGCAGGCTTCCAGGGAACATGGTGCTGCCCTGGGCCTTGGGGGCATCTGCTTGGGGAACCCGACCCCTGAAGGCAGGCCTATCCCATCCCAGAGGCTGGCTGGCTGTGTCTGGGGTTTTAATAGGAGGGACCAATGAGCCCTTTCCAAATGGGGGAAAGGGTAAAAATGAGCAATCCTGCTCTAAGATGGGACCCTGGGGACTGGTCTGACAACTGGCCCTGTATCAGCAATGAGGGGTGAGTAAAGGGTCCCCAGCCACCCTGTCCCGGTGGTGGGTTGGGTGTGTCAGCATGACCTTGTCCCAACAAGTTGGGTGTAAGGGCATGTGGCAGGGCTGGTAGGTAGGCGGCAGGCCTGTGCACTCACATGGCACAAATCCCGTGTAGAAAGGTATCAGGCCCTGGCTTCTGTAGACGGTGTTGCTGGGCCAGTATGTCTTAGGCAGCCTCTCGCCCAGGGCACAGATGGGATTTCTGAACAGGAACTGGGGAAACGGGCAGGTGCTGACAAGCACTGCCTCCCCCAGCTGGTAACCAGTGAGCAAAACACCCAAGTTGGGGCCTGACCTGCCCCAGCCGAGGGCACTCTCACTGGGGAAGTGGCCAGTGCTCTTGGGTCTGCTGTCTGCCTCAGCCCCCTTAGTCCGAAACACTGCAGAGCAGGGTGCTCAGACCTATAGGGGACAGGCCTTTGAGCCAGGCAGGGCCCCCCTCCCCAGGCCTCTGAGGAAGCCTGGCCTTCATGGCTCCTCCAGGGAAATGCCAAGTGGGTGGAGACAGCTGTGTTGGGAGCCAGGCAGCTGGGAGCAGGCCCAGCACGGGGCTGTCCTACCTGGTTCTTGTCAAACTGGTCCATAGCTTGTGTGACCCCATCACGGTAATTCACCCCCATCACCCAGGTGAACTGGGGGACGAAGCCAGCATAGCCTGGGAGTGGGCAGATGTCAGGGTCCTACCCCTGGTCCCCTTGGCCTTCCCCTGGGCATGCCCACCTTCCAGATGTGTCAGGGAAGCCAGTCAAGGCTCTGAACCCTCAATGTTAGCAATTGCCTCTTGGGGCCAAGTAAACAGGTGGGCAGCAGTCAGGAAAAGTGGGCTCCAGGAAGCAGCTGGGAGGTGTGAGAGAAAGGGGTCCCTACTCTCCAGAAACTCTGGGGAGGGGTGACCCTGCCCAAACCAGCAGGGTGCCCAGTCCCCAGGCACCCACCTGAGATGGCTTTCCGTTGGATCAGGTTAGGGTGGTCCAGCTGGGGCAGCCGCTGGAACCTCCCTACATCTAGTGTCTGCTGCTGGTGGGCCCGGGGTGGGTACTCACTCCTCCTGAAGTGGTACAGCTGGATTGGAGGAGGGGCGAGTCACCGCAGCTCCCACCTGGGTCTGGGTAGGGGTGGGGCTCAGTGCAGGATGTCTCCCAGTTACCTGGTGCTGCCCGGGGGCCTCATGGACTGGGGTGGTGCTCTTCCAGGCCTCTTCTCCATAAGCCAGCCGCTGGCCCGGGTGTCCCAAGTCCCTGGAGTCCCCCTTCTTGCCTGGTGGGCATGGTGGGTAGGGGGGGTAGGGCATGAAGCCTGCAGGCAGCCCAACTTCTCTGGATATGTTCTCTACCCCTGGTGGCTCCTGGGTGTCCATTTCCTGGAGTGGGAGCCGGCCCAGAATCTCAAAGTTCTTGAAGGGCTTCAGACCTGTACAGACAGGGCAGCCTGTGAGCATGGGGAGCAAAAGGGTAAGCCCAGAGGGGCTGGCGCAGGGTCGCGGCTGGCAGCTCACCGGTATAGAGAGGGATGTAGGGCTCACTCAGGTCCCGGCAGGGAACCCAGGGGGGCTTGGACCTGCTGTAGTCCTCGATGAACTTGGGTTTGGACATGGGGGACAGTACGGAACAGGGGCTCTTCTGCACACTGGGGTCTGTGAGCAGCTGTGCCGTGGTGCGCCCATAGGTGTTCCCCACCTGGTAGCGCAGCTGTGGATAGAAGCCTGCATAGCTGTGGCGGGAACAGGCAGAGGAGGCAGGACGGGTTGGTGAGGGCAGCCAGCAGCTAGGTGAGATCCAGCCCACCTGCCACTTACCAGCTGCTTGGCCTGTGGCAGGTCACCCAACCTTTGCTTACCTGTGAATGGGCTTGCAGTAGCACCTGCCTTCTGTGGCTCCTGCAGCTTGAATGGCCTGGGAGGTGAGCTCCCCTGTCACACCACCACGAGACTGCCACCCTCCAACCCCTCTCCCATCCCTCGTTCCAACAGCAGGGAGTGGGGAGCCTGTTCTGTGGGGGCAAGTGCCAGGACAGAGGTGTGGAGTGGCCACACAGCCCAGCGGAGGGCAGCCCTTGCACGCCAGCTGGTCCCTCCAGGAAGGGGTCGGGTGGGGTTTGGAGGCCAGGATTTTGGGAGGGCAGGTGGGAGGGCTGAGCTTCAAAGGGGAGCAGTCACTTAGCCACACGGGGACGTGGTGTGGGTGTCCCATCATGGGCTCCACAGACTGTCAGCGGCTCAGTGCTGCTAGGGGCCTGTGTGATCCCCCAAGGAGTGTGAATTTTCTTTTAAAAGATTGCCGAAGTCAACACAGGCCCATAAGTTTACAAGGTGCCCTTCCACCTTCCCCAGAAGTCACCATTGTCCAAAGGTAGGCTTGGCTCCCTGCCAGCCTTTCCTTGTCTGTACATGTACCTGTGTGTGTATATTTAGGGGTGTACACACATCGCAGAGGGGGGTTATTTTTATTTTTTTACTCGAGGGGGTACCTAGTGAAGCGGCCTGGCGTGAGCTTATCTCATCTTTAAGATGTGGAGTTCTCTGTGGAGCGAGCGTCCAGCGTTCACTCAGCCGGCCTCTACCAGCTGTTTTGCTGCCCGTTTCTGCTCCTGACAGACACGCTGGCCACCTGGCCTGGCATTCGGCAGCCGTGCACCTGCAGGGCCGGGAGAGGCCTGGGCCCTTGGCAGCCCCCGCCCCAGAGCCTGCCGTGTCCCATGGCTCCCCAGCCCACAGGGCCTCCTCCCCAGCTCCCTGGTGTGCTGGTCTGGAGACCCTCACAGCTGGCCTCCAGGCCCTCCGCCCCAGCCCTGCTCCCTGACCCTGACCCCTCCTTACCCAGGGATGTAGTGAGGTTCTGGCGTGAAAAGGTTGTGTTTCTGAGTAGCTGTCATTTTGCCTCTAGCGGCCCTCGCTGGCTCCAGTCCCTTATCCAAGGGTCTGGCTCCTTCCCTGTGAGGGGTCCTGTTGCCTGGCAACCATTGTGAAGGAGCCCAGCACTGCTGGGCACTAGCAGGGCCAGGGGGCCTCCGGAGCCCTGTGAGTGATCCCATTTTACAGCTGGCACACTGAGTCCAGACTGGCTCCAGGCTGGGCTGGTGTTATGGTGAGGCGGGCTGGCCTGGGAGGAAGTCCTGGGAACCTCCGGGCTCAGAAGAGGGGCCTGGGCTTTTGCCACCCCAGGAGGCCAGTGGCTAGCCAAGAAGCAAGCCCTGCCCAGGGTGAGGCTTGAGTCTGGGCTTTCCCAGCTGGAGAGCTGTGTGGATTCTCTCCAGTCAGAGAGAATTTCACCTGGAACAGGGCATTATTTTACATTTTAAACAAATCCTGATTATATATGAATGGCTTTCTAACCATAAAGATGACTGTATAATAAAGGAAAAGATTAATAGGTTCAACCACATGTCAAATACTGACATGTCAAAAACTGAAAACTGGAAAACAAAGTTTGCAACAAGTGTTAAGAACAGATATATCCATATAAAAAGTTCTTACAAAACAATATGAAAAGTTGAGGCCGGGCACGGTGGCTCATGCCTGTAATCCTAGCACTCTGGGAGGCCGAGGCAGGCGGATTGCTCGAGGTCAGGAGTTCGAAACCAGCCTGAGCAAGAGTGAGACCCCATCTCTACTATAAATAGAAAGAAATTAATTGACCGATTTATATAGAAAAAATTAGCCGGGTGGCGCATGCCTATAGTCCCAGCTACTCAGGAGGCTGAGGCAGCAGGATTGCTTGAGCCCAGGAGTTTGAGGTTGCTGTGAGCTAGGCTGATGCCATGGCACTCACTCTAGCCTGGGCAACAAATCGAGACTTTGTCTCAAAAAAAAAAAAGAAAAGAAAAGTTAAGACCCCAGTAGAAAATGCATACATAATGTGAACAGTATTTTAAAAAGACCATAGTCAATAAACATATGAATATTAAGTTGAACCTTAATCAAATACTGATAATTGCAGCTCCTAAGGCTCATTGCTGGCAGGGTCCTAGAATAGCCTCTAATTTGGGAGACACCTCTGGAAAGCAGTCTGGTAACAGATCAAATCCACACATGACACTGCACACTTTGGCCCATTGCTGCCACTCTTAGGAATCCGTCCTACGGAAATGGCCTGGTGTTTAGCTGACGATACGTGTACAATGCTATTCATCATGGTAGTGTTTATTACAGAGAGGAACTGGAGTTAACCTCAGTGTCCAATGACAAAGCCTTCCTTAGCAAAGTGTAACACAGTTGCGTTCACAGCCATGGCCACTGTCCCCAAAGAACACTGCACGGCTGGGGAGGGGGCCCTGGAGCACAGTCTGTGCACCCCTCACCCAAATGAAACATGTATTTCCTCAAGCACCTGTCCATGCAGGGCCAGGCGGGTCAGTGGGGAGGACTGCAGGGACAGGCTTGGTCAGGGCGGAGGAAGGCCCAGAGGAGGCTCCATGGACCAGACATTCTTGAGCAGGCCCTGCCTCGGATTTGGGCCAAGGTCAGCTCCAGACAGGCTCGTGCTCGCTCAGGCTCACTACTCCTCTGCAGCTTGGCTGGGCAGCCCGGTCCATCTGTGACACCTTGTGGCCTCCTCCTGGCCTCTGTGCCCCCAGGCAGAAGACAGCTGCCCTGCCCCAGCCCTGCCTGGGCTAGCCTGCTTCTGGCATCCTCTTGGCCCTCTCAGACTCATCCAATGCTGTTGCTTCCCTTTTCCCACAAGTGGGTTTCTGGGTGGGGCAGCTGCTCCTTCTCCTCCTCCAGGGAGCCTTCATGGACTCCTCCCTCCATCCTACCCCCAAGAGTCTTTCTGGCTGGCCCCACACAGCTGGGCATCTGGTAGGCCCTATGCTGGGGCCTCAGTTCTCCCAGAAGCCCCACTGGAGTGTACCCGACCCTCCCAGGAGACCCTGGAGTGCAGGAGAGGGGAAGGGGTTGGCACAGAAGGTGAGGAAGGGAGTAGAGGAGACTTTGGCCAGGCGCAGGTAGGGGAGGGGCTGTTGGGGCTGGAGACCCACTCAGGCAGGCCCCCCAGGACTGAACAATGCTTCTTCCCAGGGAGTCCCTGGCAACAGAGGGGTCCACTAGTGAGGTCACAGAACTCTCTGGGGGAAGAGCCCTTGGGGAAGGGAGTCCTGAGTCTCTGAAAATGAATTTTGACCAGAAGGCGGTGAAATTCCTGGCAAATTTTTACATCAATGGGGGCAAACACTGGACCCATGGACCTCTAAGGCAGCAGCCACTAGAGCCCGGCCAGTAACTTCAGAGGGCGGTGGGCAGGTTGGGGGGCAGCATGGTGGGGGTGGCCGGAGGGCTGGGTGGACAGTGGCTCTCTGTCTCCCTGCAGGCCCAGTGCTGTGGTGCTGTTGTCAGGCTCAGAGCCAGGGACGTACTGGGAGATGTGGTCCTCAAAGACCAAGGAGGTCCCAGCCGTCCTCCGGATACATAGGGGCACCACCCAGGACTTCTCACCTACCTACACCCAGACCCTGAGGGAGCTGCGTGAGTGAGGGTCCTGGCTTACCCCCCCACCCCGCGCCACCCTGAGCTGGTCATGGGTGGGGGAGGGGCCTGCTGGAAGGAACCGGGCCCAGAGCTTGCTTCCCGTGGCCAGTGCTGAAGCGGCGGCCCCCCATCGTGACCGACCTGGATGTCCCCGGCCCCGCCAAGTACGAGGTGCCCAGTGCGTCCGTGCGCGAATCCTCTCCGCATCCCCGCTACAGCATAGGCCACAAGCACCAGGGCCGAGGTGTGTGTCCCGTCCCCGAGTCCCCACCCCGCCCGGGGAATGGGGGCCTCTGCCTCTGCCCTGAAGCCCCGTCTCGCCGCCCCCAACCCTTGCCTGAGGACCCCTGCGCCCCGCCTTCCCCCACCCAACGCTCCGCCCACTGCAGAGGGCGGCGGCCGCCGCGCGTGGCAGACCCCCTGGCTCCAGAGCGAAAGCCCCTTCACTCAGAAGGTCGACTTCAACCGGGAGCAAAAGGTGGCTGCGCTCGTCAGGAGCGGGTTCTACGGGGAGGGGGTGTGGGGGGGAGGAGGGGAGAGGCAGAGGAGGAGGGAGGGGCAAGAGGAGGGGCAGGGGAGAGGCAGGGGAGGAGGGAGGGGCAAGAGGAGGGGCAGGGGAGAGGCAGGGGAGGAGGGAGGGGAAGAGGAGGGCCAGGGGAGGAGGGAGGGGCAAGGAGAGAGGGGAGGGGAGGGCCAGGGGAGGAGGAAGGGAGGAGGAGAGAGGGCGGGGAGGGACAAGGAGAGGGGAGGGGGCAAAAGAGGGGGGAGGGGATGGGGATGGGGGAGGGGATGGGGGAGGGGCATGGGGAGGAGCCGCACGGGCGTGGGCGGAGCCCGGGGGCGGCCCAGCCGGGCCGGGGGCTAGGACTCCGCAGCTCTGTCTCTTTCCTCCTCGCAGTGGCCTTCGCCGGCCGACCACGTGCCTGTCAGCCGGTCGGCCTGCCCTGCCTTCAGCTTCGGGGGCCGCAGGCCCTCCTCCCAGACGGCGGTGGGCCAGGCGCGCCCCAGGCTGCTTGGGACCGGAGTGCCGCGCCTCCGAGCCCAGTCCCTGATCCAGGGTTCCCTGCGGGCGCCTGGCGAGAGGCGCCCCGCCCCCAATACCTACGATATCCTCCCGGGGTGCAGTATGCAGAGCGCCCGCTCGCCTGCCTTCTCCATGAGCCGCTCCCCTGCGTTCGCCTCTTGGTTCCGCTCCTGTAAGGAGGCCTCGAAGAGGGCGGGGCCAGGCCCGGGCCTGGGGGTGGGGTCGAGGGTCAGGACCAGGGTCCAGGGGCCCGGGGTGGGAGCTGGGAGCTGGGGACAGGGGCGGGCGCTGCCGTGGGATTGGGCTCCCAGACTCCTCTCTCTGTAGCTCAGACCCCGGGCCCGGGCCCGGCCGCCTACCAGGTGGAGGACTGCTACAACTCATGCTTCCCCTCCTCGCCGGGAGTGGTCATCCAGGGCGTGCGCAGGCCCAAGCGGCACGACACAGGCCCCTTCTGCACGCTCTAGAGCCCACTGGGCACAGCCTGCCCGGCCGGTTATCAAGTGGCCTCCTTTGGGGCTTCCCCCGGCCTGCCTCTGCAACTCGGCTCCCCTGGCCTGGCCCTCTGACCCTCTGGGCACCCCTGAACCACCTTCCTGGCCAGCTGATGCTTCTGTGGGCTGTGGACAAGGAGAGCCCAGCCCAGAGCCCCCACCTGCCCATCCCCCCATTATACAGAGATTTGTTGGTTCTTCTGAACTCTGTGGTGTGCCCATCCCTCACCCAGCCGGCAGTCCTGAAGATGTGGCTTGCTGATGGCCTGTCATTTCAGGCTTCCCTGTTGGGAGATCTCCATTCAGCTGTCCCTCTTGGGTGCACTCTTCTGGGGGTGGGGGTTGGGGTAGCAGCCTGGGGCTGACCCCAAGCTCCCTGGCCTCATACAAGGTGAGAAGGGAGCCCTGTGGGCAGTGCATGACACTCCCACCCAGCCATGCCACCCAGGAGACTAGTCCAGCTGCCAGTCTACCTGAGGGTCAGTCTTCTTGCTGAGGCAAAGAACTGACTGCTAGGATGGAGGCGGGGGCCAGGTTCCCTCAGCTGCCTGCCCAGCTTCCAGGGAGGGCTGAGAGGACCAGCTCTTAGGACCTGGCCCCACTTCCCCCAGGCCTTGACCTGAAGACCCAGTGGCTTAGTCACTTGTGCTCTGAGAACTCTGGCCCCAGGCTGTGCAGGCCAAGCTACAGGAAGTGAGCTCCCTTGGCCTTGGCCGGTTAGGCCTGCAGCAGCAGCAGGACTGCTGGTCCCCTCGTCACCTTTGGCCTGCCCTCCTACCTGGGCTGGGGACCGAAGACTGCTACCTGCAGGAGCCTCACCTGCAGCTAGTGGTTGCTCCCTTGGCTGCACCAGTTCCTCCAGGTGCCCTCCCTGCAACCCCTGTGTTCTCACCCTCCCCCAGTCCGAGCCCTGGGCCAGGCCCAGAGTTTGACATCTTCAAAAAGTTTCTGCAGCAGCTGCTGCCATGGTGTCAGCATCACCCTCTGCCGCAGAGCAAGCCAAGGCTCGGGGAATCAGCTGGGTGTTGAATCAGCGCAGCAGGACCTTCATGCAGGGGCCTGGGCCGACCAGCTCGGCCAGCATCAACACCAGTAGAGCTGTGGTAGCCCTGGCCCTGGGGACTCAGCCCCAGGTGTCGGGAACAGGACCCCTGCCCGTGGATGCACCACGAGACACCCCTGGGATCCAAAGCTGAGAGTAGGAGTAGCAGAAAGCAGGGAGCAAGCTCCTCCATCTGGGTTGAGGAGGGAGGACTTCCTGGAGGAGGAGGTGGAGGAAGGGTCCTTTAAGGATGAGCAAGTTTCCTGGCTAGCAGGAAAGAAGTTTCTAGCAGAGCAAAACCTCAGCAGCAAAGGCACATGAAAAGGGAGAGGGTGTGGTGTTTGGTGTGGCAAAGGCTGGGAGAGGACGCAGGGCTGGTGTGGAGAGAGGCGAGCTGAAGGGGTGTGGAGGCTGCAGGGCTGAATCCTGGGTCCAGGAGCTTGCGCAGGTGGCACCGAGAGCCCACCTGCCGGAATGAGCTTCTTGCACCTTAAGGGCAAGGACTGTCATTCACAGCTCGATAGATAGACTCAGCCTGAGAGTCCACCATCTGGGGTGGCCCTGGCCGTCAGATCCTCACCTGCCACTGAGGACAGCAGTGGCTTGTGTTCCCAACCAGCCAAGCCCGGCCGGCCCCACTGGAGGTACCCTGGGGATGTCAGTCTTTGCAACAACTACACGGAGGAAGCCCAGCTCCAAGGAGTGTGCACCTCATGTACCTGGCAGGACCTGGGTGCAGGGGGCTTCCAGGGCGGCAGTGCTCCGTTTCCTCACGCAAAATACCGGAGCTGCTGTGAGACAGCAACAGCGTTTTCCGTGATCATAAAAATAAAATTTATGGCCCGGGCGCGGTGGCTCACGCCTGTAATCCTACCACTCTGGGTGGCCGAGGCAGGCGGATCGTTTGAGCTTGGGAGTTGGAAACCAGCCTGAGCAAGAGCGAGACCCGTCTCTACTAAAAATAGATAAAATTAGCCGGGCGTGGTGGCTCATGCCTGTAGTCCCAGCTACTCAGGAGGCTGAGGCAGGAGGATAACTTGAGCCCAGGAGTTTGAGGTTGCTGTGAGCAAGGCTGACGCCCCGGCACTCACTCTAGCCGGGGCAACAGAGTGAGACTCTGTCTCAAAATAAATAAAATTTACTTGGCCAAAATGTCAGTTCTTAAATTTATAAGGCAGGTCGATCGCGATAGGCGCCCTGGCACGCGCCCAGCGCTGTCTTGCAGCCCAAGGGCATGGACAGTCTGCAGCCCCGCCTGCCTCGAGCCCGGCCTGGAGCGACCGGCGCCCCCTGCCGCCCACAAGCGGGTCTGCTCGGCACAGCGGGCTGGGCGGGGCCAGAGGCGGGAGAGGGGCGCTGGCGGGCCCCGGATTGGCGGGCGGCGTAGGGGCGGGGCATGCCTGGTGGGCGTGGCTGCGTGGCGGCCGGCGCGTCGTCCCGGCACCGCCCCTCACGCGCAGTGTCGTAACTCAGCTTCTCGCCAGGTGAGGGCGCCGCTGCCAGGAACCCGCACGCGGCGGCGGCGTTGTTTCCCGGGGCCGGTTTGGCGGGCGGACCCGGGCTGTGTGGGACGGAAGTGGGTGGCTGCGGGACCTGTGCAGAGCGGCGCTGCGGCCGGGACCTGGCCGAGCTGGAGGGCGCGGGGGAGCGGGGCCCGGGCGGCCCGCGAGGCCCGGGGGAGCGGGCTTCTGGGGCGCCTGCAGCGTCCGCCGCGGCGCCGGGGGAGCGGGGCGGGGATGGGGCGCCGAGCCGGGCGGCGGCCGGGGCCTCGGCCATGTTCGCGGGGCTGCAGGACCTGGGCGTGGCCAACGGCGAGGACCTGAAGGAGACCCTCACCAACTGCACGGAGCCGCTCAAGGCCATCGAGCAGTTCCAGGTGAGGCAGGGCCGCGGGCGCCGGGCCCAGGGGGCTGCCCGGGGCGGCGGGCGTCTGGCCAGGGGGCGAGGCGCCTGGGAAGTTGGGAGTTTTCTGGCTTTATTTTGATAGCTGCGTTCTGTTCCACCGAGGAGAGTGCGGGAATGTCCTGAGCTGGGACCCCGTTGCTGGAGGACGGGGTGGTTTCCCGTTTTTGCGGTTGCCGCCAGTGCTGCTGCGAACCTCCGTGGACACATTTCTTTGTGGACTCGGGGCATCTGGGTGCATGGGTAGACTTGGCTGCGGTTGCAGCTTCTGTTGTCGCTCCAGTCAGCCAGATCTGTCTGCATTCACTTCTTCCTCAGACAGAGAATGGCGTGCTGCTGCCCTCCCTGCAGTCGGCCTTGCCCTTCTTGGACCTACATGGGACGCCGCGGCTGGAGTTCCACCAGTCGGTGTTTGATGAGCTGCGGGACAAACTGTTGGAGCGAGTGTCAGCCATTGCCTCGGAGGGGAAGGCTGAGGAAAGGTAGGTCTCCACTTGCCAAGGGTGGGCAGATGAGATGTGCAGCCCACTTCGATGCCCCGTTACTAATCAGTAACATGTGGCATCTGTCATCCTCTTGGTACAAGGTACAAGAAGCTGGAAGACCTTCTGGAGAAGAGCTTTCTCTCGGTCAAGATGCCATCTTTGCAGCCAGTGGATGTGTGTCATGAAGCACCTGCCCAAGGTAAGAGTCAAGGGCGTCTCCTGCCTCCCTTTGGTTGGTGGAAGTAGCATTGTGCACGTGGTCCAGGCAGCGCTTAGCTCCAAGGAGGTTTGATATGCTGCCGTCCAGTGAAGCTCGTCCTGCTTCTGCCAGATAAGCCACATGGAGACTGAAGCTTGGCACTTGAGTGGAGTTGGGCCCTTTCTGGGAAAGAGCTGTTGGTATTCAGCATGTCATTCCCACCTACTAGGGCCTGCGGTGCCAGTCAAGATGCCCCTATCCGGTGGCTGGGCTCGAGGCAATCTCTGGCCTGTCTTGACGGAGACGCAGGGACACAGCGACTCACAGGAGGCCTGTGGTGTCGTTGTGCAGTTCCAGAGAAGAAGCTGAAGCTGGTGATGGCTGACAAGGAGCTGTACCGAGCCTGCGCCGTGGAGGTAGAGCGGCAGATCTGGCAAGACAACCAGGCCTGTTTGGGGACGAGGTCTCCCCACTGCTGAAGCAGTACATCCTGGAGAAGAGAGTGGGCTCTTCAGCACGGAGCCTCCGTCCTGCACAACTTCTAGTCCTTCCCCAAACCAGGCGCCAGGGCGAGGTGAGGGAGGGGCGAGGACCTGTGGCAGCCCCTTCAGCTGCTGGAGAGTGACTCCTCGCTGTCCTCACATGTTTGGGCGTTCTGCTCTGAAGATGGGCTTGACGCTGGCCAGAGAGAAGCTTGTGATTTCTGTGTTTGTGTGTGTTTTGCTTTACAAAAAGTGACATGTGAAGAATGTTAAAATCTGCAGAAAGGCTTTTAATGAAAAGTGACAACTACTGCCCCCCCCACTTTTTTTTTTTTTTAAGACAGAGTCTCATTCTGTTGCCCGGGCTAGAGTGCCATGGCATCTGCCCAGCTCATACAACCTCAACTCCTGGGCTAAGCAATCCTCTGCCCAGCCTCCCTGAGTAGCTGGGACTACAGGCATGCGCCACCATGCCAGCCAAGTTTTCTATATATTTTTAGTTGCCAATTAATTTCTTTTTTTTTATAGAGATGGGGCCTCACTCTTGCTCAGGCTGGTCTCGAACTCCTGACTTGAACGATCCTCCCACCCTCGCCTCCCAGAGTGCTAGGATACAGGCGTGAGCCACCATGCCACGCGCTCCCACTTCTAAACAGCAAGTTGTTTGATTCTTAAACTTTCAAATGAGTTAAATAGTTGTTAATTGGTTGAGAATGAGTTCTTGTTTTTCATTCTTCAGAAGACAGGTGTGTTCAGAGGTTCTACCATTAGTAGCACTGGCATTATTCTAAGCTCCAGTTTGCAGTTATTGGCTTTCTTCATATTGAGATCTCCTTAATTAGCTACTTTGAGATACACTGCTCAGTGAAGTCTCCTGTGGGGAGCTGAGGCCTCGTGGCTTGTCTGAGGGAGATGCAGGGACACAGGCACAACTGACAGTAGGGCCTGTGTGTGTGCGGGTTCCTGAGAAGAACTGAAGCAGCTGTAGAAGTTATCAGAATTTCCTAGTATCTACGTTAAGAAGGAAAAAAAGGAAAAAAATGAGATCAGTTTCTTTCTTTTTATTTTTTTAGAGAGAGGGTCTCACTCGTCACC